TCTTTCTGACATTATTGTTAGTGTATAGAAATGCAGCTGATTTCTATATATTGCTATTTGTACATAAATAATTACTCTACTTAATTCATTTATTAGTTCCAACTTTACTTAATTCATTTGCTAGTTCCAACCATTTTTGGTGGTCTTTATAATATCATGTGATCTGCAAAAGGTAATAATTTTGCTTTTTCCATTCTGTTTTGGGTGCCTTTTATTTATTTTTCTTTCCTAATTTCTCTAGATAAGATTTTTATACTATATTGAATAAAAGTAGTGAGAGTGGGTATATTTATCTTATTCCTGACCTTAGAGGGAAAGATTTTAGTTTTTCACCATTAAGTATGATGTTAGCTATTAGTGTGTTATATATGGCCTTTATTATGTTGAGTTATGTTCCCTCTAAAGCTGCTTTGTTGACAATGTTCATCATGAAAGTATGTTGAATTGTGTCAAAGTTTTTTTGCCATCTACTGAGATTATATGATTTTTATCATTGTTTTGTTAATGTTGTATATCACATTGATTTGCAGGTATTGAACCATCCTTGCATCCCTGGAGTAAGTCCCATTTGATAGCTGTGTCTGATCCTTTTAATGTACTATTGAATTCAGTTTGCTAAGATTTTATTGAGAATTTTTATATCTATGTTCATCGGGAATACATAATTTTATTTTCTTGTGGTGTCTTTAGTGTTGGTACCAGGGTAATTCTGGCCTTGTAAAATTACTAGAAGTGTTCTGTCTTCTTCTTTTTGGGAGGTGGAAGGGGTTGAAGAGCTGAGGTGCCAGGTGTGTACACTAGATTCTTCCAGGGAGACTCTGACAACTTGGATAGGGCTAGAGAAAGAGGGAAGGGAGGTGTCCACCAGCTTCCCTGGTCTCCAGGAAGGATTGCAGCCAGCCCCTAAATGCTTACTAATTTAGAAGCCTGACCCTCAGGCAGAATTGAAGTATGCAAATAGAATCCTTTCAGGGAAAGACTGAGAAGTGAGCCTTTCTGCCTACTTCTCTGCACTGAGCCCTGCGGGACAGCCACAGCTAGTGTTCATATCCATTAATAAATGCTTCTTTGTTTGCTATAGTCTTGTGGGTCTCATGGATGCAAGTGCCACTGGTTTTCAGAGATAGGTGTTTTGGGAGCCTGTCTCTCAAGTGGGAGTCTTAAAAGTTGGGGTATTAGATGTGGGATACAAACCCTTAGATACTCAGGGAGAAGCTGGGAGGTGATGGTTCTCTCACAATTGTGTGGCATTAGGCTGGGAATGGGGTTTATGACAAGAACTAGAGGCCTGGTGCATGAAATTCATGCGGGGCGGGGGTGGGGGGTATCCCCACAACCCAGTCTGCACCCTCTCCAATCTGGGGATTGGGCCTAAAACGGCAGTTGGACATCCCTCTCACAATCCTGGAACACTGGCTCCTAATCGCTTACTTGCCTGCCTGGTCGCCCCTAACTGCCCCTCCTCCCCCCTGCTGGCCAGGTTGCCCCCAACTGCCCCCTCCCTGCCAGCCTAGTCATAGGCAACCATCTTGTGAGGGCATGAGGGTTAATTTGCATATTACTTCTTTATTATATAGGATGTGTCTCAGCCTTTCCTAGTGATTTCAGTGTGGGTATTTTCTCATTCAACTAACGTGTTGGAGAGTCCCTCAGCTAGTTTCAGTATTTCCTTCAAAGAGAATTATTCCCTGTATGGCTGTCCATTCAGTGTGCCTGTGGGAGGAGGAGAGTTCAAGAGTCTCCTATGTCGCCATCTTTAAGGACTGCCCCTACCCAATTTTACAAAAAGTAAATCTTAGTGAGATTTGCCTTTAATAAACTTTAATGGATAATAGCTATGAACTATTATATTGCATTTGAATTCAGTGATAGATATTGAAGTGATCATCGACTAACCTAAGAGTATTTTAGATTGACACTTTCAGTTATTAAGCTGCTGATGGGATAAGAGAATAAGGCTCAAGCTACCTTTAGGTGTTTATTAATCTAAGTTCATTTTGCAAATACTTATTTAATACGTACCATATTTCAGGCACTGTTCTAGGCACTTGGAATACAAGTATCCAACCTTGTGGAACCTCCATTCTATAAAGTAACATACTATAAAAATAACAATTACATAAATAAAAGTAAAGATTACTTTTAACTTCTAAAATATGAGCCTAGAAAATATTCTAGGTGGTACTGACAGCAAAATTCCAGCAGGTGACTGCAATCCAACCAGAAACATTTTTATGACTGCATTCATTGTTTGCCATTTGGTTGCTCATTTATGATTTCATTTTGCTAATCTCTGACATTCTCTTCTGATCTGAATTTCAATGAGGGTATTAAATTAAGTTTTTGGTTACCTTTGCATATTTTGTGACTTCAAACATTTAGATTATGAATCACTGTGTGCATAACTTTTTAAATTGTCTCAAGCCAGCAGTGTTCCTTTCACTTTTTCTAGGTTTTCTCTAATGAATTAACTTCATAGTATATGTTCTGTGCTTTAGTCTAACAGAGCTATAGCTGATTTTTTAAAAACTCATACAATGTATGCCTCACCTTTTCATCTGTACAATGGGAACTATAGAATACTTAACCAGCATGGTTGTTATGCATATTCAGTAATATAACATTTGAAAACACTTCGATTTGAAGAAAGGGCAGGACATGGTAAGGTTTAAGTGCTATGTTTTCTGTACCCTTATTAGTCATTTACTTATTTCGAATATTTTAGCACAGTCAATGGGAGTATTGTACATTTTTATTTCCTTTGTGCTCTTGGGAGGAAGCAGGATTACAATGAAAAATAAAGGCTAACATATATCCAGCAGGGCCATATAAAGACTATCTCTTTGTAAACTGCTTGTCTCAGGAGTCAATCCCTTAAAATGATGAAAACCGAGATCTTTTCACACTTAACTCTTTCTTTGAAGTTTTCTTCCTGATTTCAAAAAACCATCGTTGTTATAAAATTCCAACATTAAAATGAATACATTTTTTAAAAATAAATTTATGCTAACAATAAAGTAAGATGTGCTTTCTGAGTTATAGAACCATATTTTTAAAACTTTTCATTGATTACTATAATATTTTTTAAATAAATGAATAAAATTCCAACATTAGAGAAATTAATAACTTAGAAAGCAAAAAAACTATTTATTCGAACCTGGACTCTTTATTCCTAGAGATAATTCATGATAATAATCTGTGTATGTTCTCATATGTATTTAATAAATACATAATATATGTATTTATTAAAATAAAATCACATACTGGCAATAATCTGTGTATGTTCTCATATGTTTTTCCTAGTTATATATGTATTTATTAAAATAAAATCACATACTGCTTTGTAACTGGCTTTTATTCACTTATATAATGTCTTTGGTGTTTGTGTCAACACATTTAATTCCTTCTCATTTTCAACAGCTGCAGAGAGCAGCAACTCAAGGATGCACGTGTGGCTCTCTATGTCCTTACGCATAGAGCCACAGAGCATTCAGATCTGACTGGGGAAATGAAACCTTCCTG